CCAGCCCGTGAGCCGCATGAACTCGTACAGGTTGCCCTGCCGCACGCGCCACCACCAACAGACAAAGGTCCCCCGCGTAGCCTGTAAGGGGCCGCCGGGGCAAGTGCCGCGAATGTTTACGTGCCGGTTCATCCAATCGTCACCGGTGCTGGCGGCCGTGAGCGGGAGTGAGACCCGCGTCTTCCCACAACACGCACGACGCACACGCATGAGTGCACGACACGCACACGCATGACACGCACAAGAGCACACGCATGACACGCACAAGAGCACACGCATGACACGCATGACACGCACACGCACGACATGCACATGCATGAGTGCACACACGCACGACACGCACACGCACAAGAGCACACGCATGACACGCACGACACGCACAAGAGCACACGCATGACACGCACACACACTAGCGCTCGCTCTCTCAATCACCGCTCAGGAGTTCAACTCGTCGGGCTGCTTTGTCGCTCGCAAGCTCGACGCTTTGGGCTTGTACGTACAGTACGGATACAGTACGCACGAACTTTCTTCGCACCGTACGTAGCCGGCCGTGCAAGTCCACCCGGCCGAGTCCACCCGGCTAGCTCCGTCACGGGGTCTCGTGGTCAACTCAATGATCGAGTCAACCCGACTCTTTGCAAGTCTCTATAGGTCTCCGTGCGAGTCTCTGGGTCTCCGTGCGAGTCAATGGGTCTCTAAGCGGGTCTCTATGTGAGTCTATGTGTTCGAACGTGAGTCTGTGAGTGAACCCACTTTGTCTCCATGCAATTCTATGGGTCTCTACGTGAGCCTGCGGGTCTCTGCGTGGGTCTATGGGTCTCTGTGTGAGTCTATGGGTCTCTGTGTGAGTCTACGGGTCTCTACGTGAGTCTACGGGTCTCTGTGTGAGTCTACTGGTCTCTGTGTGAGTCTATGGGTCTCTGTGTGAGTCTACGGGTCTCTGTGTGAGTCTACGGGTCTCTGTGTGAATCTACTGGTCTTTGTGTGAGTCTACGGGTCTCTGTGTGAGTCTACGGGTCTCTGTGCGAGTCTACGGGTCTCTGTGTGGGTCTACGTGTCTCTGGGTGGGTCTACGTGTCTCTGCGTGAGTCTACGGGTCTCTGTGTGAGTCTACGGGTCTCTGTGTGAGTCTACGGGTCTCTGCGTGAGTCTACGGGTCTCTGTGTGAGTCTACGGGTCTCTATGTGAGTCTACGGGTCTCTGCGTGGGTCTACGGGTCTCTGCGTGAGTCTATGGGTCTCTGTGCGAGTCTACGAGTCTCTGTATGAGTCTACGGGTCTCTATGTGAGTCTACGGGTCTCTATGTGAGTCTACGGGTCTCTATGTGAGTCTACGGGTCTCTGTGTGAGTCTACGGGTCTCTGTGTGAGTCTAGGGGTCTCTGTGTGAGTCTACGGGTCTCTGTGTGAGTCTACGGGTCTCTGTGTGAGTCTATGGATCTCTGTGTGGGTCTACGGGTCTCTGTGTGAGTCTATGGATCTCTGTGTGAGTATATTGGTCTCTGTGTGGGTATACAGGTCTCTGTGTGGGTCTACGGGTCTCTGTGTGAGTCTATGGGTCTCTGTGTGAGTCTACGGGTCTCTGTGTGAGTCTACGGGTCTCTGTGTGAGTCTACGGGTCTCATGTGTGAGTCTATGGGTCTCTGCGTGAGTCTACGGGTCTCTGGTGAGTCTACGGGTCTCTGCGTGAGTCTACGGTCTCTGCGTGAGTCCTACGGGTCTCTGTGTGAGTCTACGGGTCTCTGTGTGAGTCTACGGGTCTCTGTGTGAGTCTACGGGTCTCTGTGTGAGTCTACGGGTCTCTGTGTGAGTCTACGGGTCTCTGCGTGAGTCTACGGGTCTCTGCGTGAGTCTACGGGTCTCTGTGTGAGTCTACGGGTCTTCTGCGTGGGGGTCTACGGGTCTCTGCGTGAGTCTATGGGTCTCTGTGCGAGCCGTACGAGTCTCTGTATGAGTCTACGGGTCTCTATGTGAGGTCCTAAGGGTCTCGTGTGAGTCTACGGGTCTCTGTGTGAGTCTACGGGTCTCTGTGTGAGTCTACGGGTCTCTGTGTGAGTCTACGGGTCTCTGTGTGAATCTACTGGTCTCTGTGGGAGGTTCTACGGTTGATTCTCTGGCTGGTGAGTCTACGGGTCTCTGTGCGAGTCTACGGTCTCTGTGTGGGTCTACGTGTCTCTGGGTGGGTCTACGTGTCTCTGCGTGAGGTCTACGGGTCTCTGTGTGAGTCTACGGGTCTCTGTGTGGTCTAACGGGTCTCTATGTGAGTCTATACGTCTACTGCGTGAGTCTTACGGGTCTATGGGTGTCGGTATAAGGTCCTCTATGTGAGTCTACGGGTCTCTATGTGAGTCTATGGGTCTCTGAGTGGCGGTGAGGAGGGGGGTGAGGAGGAGGAGGACCCGAGTGGCAGTGAGGAGGGGTGAGGAGGAGGAGGAGGTGGCGGGGGTGAGTGGGTAGACGTGGCGGTACCTGCTTGTACACCTCGCCCTTGTGCAGAGCCGTGATGCGGTCCCACTGGAGTCCACCCTGCGCGTCCAGCCGGCGGAACGGTCTAGGTGACACACGCACACACATTGTACACACACACACACAGTGTATACACACATCATACACAGTGCACACACACACACAGTGTACACACACACAGTGTACACACACACGCATCGTACACACACACACAGTGTACACACACACACACAGTGCACACACACACACAGTGTACACACACACAGTGTACACACACACACAGTGCACACACACACACAGTATACACACACACACATTGTACGTATACACACACACACATTATACACACACACACATTATACACACACACACACACACTGTGTACACACACACAGTGTGCGCACACACACACACAGTGTACACACGCACACACACAGTGTACACACACACACAGTGTACACACACTACACACACTGCACACACACACACAGTGTACACACGCACACACTGCACACACACACACAGTGTACACACGCACACACACACTGCACACACACTGCACACACACACTGCACACACACACTGCACACACACACACTGCACACACACTGCACACACACACACGTGGGCTCACTTCCGCTTGTCGTTGAAGAAGCTCGGTTTGTCGGCCTTCACGATGACCACGTCAAAGAGGTCCCTCCAGTCCTTCCCCACCATGTACCGCATGCCCTTGTCGCTACAAAGACAAAGATCCCCCGTGTAGCCTCAACAGACTGTAGGGGCAAGTGCTGTTTGCGAGCAGCGCCTATGAAGGCCGGCACGGCACACGAGGGGGTGGGTGGTCAGCACCACGCCCGACCCGCCTTTGTCTCCCCAGTGGCGATGTTTACTACACACCGCACTGGGTACTTATTTGAGGCCGAGTCGACCTAGGGGAGGCCCAGGACCGGCTCAGATAATCGTCACCGGTGTTGGCCGTGAGCGGGAATCGAACTGTGGTCACTGGGTTCATAGCGCAGCGTAGCGCTAACCGCTGCACCACCGCTCCACACACACACATACACACATACTCCCATACACTCACACTCATTTACAAAGATCCCCCGTATAGCCTTAACAGAATGTTGGGGCAAGTGCTGTTAGCGAGGACCTACACTCATACACACTCATACACACTCACTCACGCGCTCTCACACACACTCACACACTCACACACGAACACTCACACACACTCAAACTCCCACACACTCACACACACTCACACACACACTCAGACACACACTCATACACTCTCACACACACACTCACACACACACTCACGCGCTCTCACACTCATACACTCACACACACACTCACACACACACACTCAGACACACACTCATACACTCTCACACACACACACTCACACCACTCACACACACTCCCACACACACTAACGCGCTCTCACACGCACTCACACACGAACACTCACACACACTCACACACACTCACACGCACTCACCCTCCCACACACTCACACACACTCTCACCACTCACACACACACACTCACACACACACTCACACACACTCTCACACACTCACACTCCACACACACACTCACACACACTCACACTCCCACACACTCACACACGCACTCACACGCTCTCGCACTCACACGCACTCACACTCACACACACTCCCACACACTCACACACACTCCCACACACTCACACACTCACACACACTCCCACACACTCACACACACTCACACACACACTTGGAGCCACATGGCAGAAATGAGCAGAGCTGTAAAATCCCGCCCCCCCCCCCCCAGGTTAAACAAGCCATGGCCCGAGCCATGAGCAACCTATTGGGGGGGGGGGGGGGGGTCACAAATGGGCTCCGTAGAAATCTGCGGAAGCTCCTTTGACAAAGGGGACAGAAAAACGGGGACTCTACTTTAGGCTTGGCTTCTTGGTTTGTTTGAACGGCAGATGGTGCCCTCCCGTGTTACAGACCAACCCAGACCTGACTGGTCACCCCGTGCCCCTTATAACATCTCAACATTCATCCTGCAAAGTCCCATCACGAGGGATCGTCAATGACGATGCGTCATCGAATGCTTCGCTCGACTAATCGGAGTGATGGGATTACAACCCCGGGATATGGGGGGACAGCAACTAATCGGATTACTAGCGTAACCATATTACTAGAGTGATGGGATTAATAGAGTGATCGGATTACTAAAGTAATGGGATTACCAGAGGGAACTGATTGCTAAAGTAATCGGATTACTAGCGTAACCATATTACTAGAGTGATGGGAGTAATAGAGTGATTGGATTACTAAAGTAATGGGATTACTAGAGCGACCAGATTGCTAGAGTAATCTAATTACTATCGTGACCATATTACTAGAGTGATGGGATTAATAGAGTGATCGGATTACTAAAGTAATGGGATTATTAGCACGACCATATTGCTAGTGATCGGATTACTAGCCTAACCATATTGCTATAGTTACGGGATTACTAGAGTAACGGGATTACTAGAGCAACGGGATCACTAGAGTAACGGGATTACTATAGTAACTGGATTACTAGAGTAACGGGATCACTAGAGTAACGGGATTACTAGAGTAACGGGATCACTAGAGTAACGGGATTACTAGAGTAACGGGATTACTAGAGCGACGGGATCACTAGAGTAACGGGATTACTATAGTAACTGGATTGCTAGAGTAACGGGATCACTAGAGTAACGGGATTACTAGAGTAACGGGATCACTAGAGTAACAGGATTACTAGAGTAACTGGATTACTATAGTAACTGGATTACTATAGTAACGGGATTACTAGAGTAACTGGATTACTAAAGTAACGGGATCACTAGAGTAACGGGATTACTTGAGTAACTGGATTACTAGAGTAACGTGAATACTAGAGTATCAGGATTACTAGAGTAACGGGATTACTAGAGTAACGTGAATACTAGAGTATCAGGATTACTAGAGTAACTGGATTACTAAAGTAACGGGATCACTAGAGTAACGGGATTACTTGAGTAACTGGATTACTAGAGTAACGTGAATACTAGAGTATCAGGATTACTAGAGTAACGGGATTACTAGAGTAACGGGATTACTAGAGTAACATGATTACTAGAGTAACGGGATACTAGAGTGACGGGATTACTATAGTAACGGGATTACTAGAGTAAGGGGATTACTAGAGTAACGTGAATACTAGAGTAACGAAATTACTAGAGTAACAGGATTACTAGAGTAACGGGATTACTAGAGTAACAGGATTACTAGAGTAACGGGATTACTAGAGTAACGGGATTACTAGAGTAACTGAATTACTAGAGTAACGAAATTACTAGAGTAACAGGATTACTAGAGTAACGGGATTACTGGAGTAACTGGATACTAGAGTAACGGGATTACTAGAGTAACAGGGTTACTAGAGTAACGAAATTACTAGAGTAACGTGATTACTAGAGTCACTGGATACTAGAGTAACGGGATTACTAGAGTAACGATATTACTATAGTAACTTGATTACTATGGTAACGGGATTACTAGAGTAATGTGTTTACTATAGTAACGGGATTACTATACTAACAGGGTTACTATAGTACGGGATTACTAGAGTAACGGGGTTACTAGAGTAACTGGCTTACTAGAGTAACTGGATTACTTTAGTAACGGGGTTACTAGAGTAACGTGATTACTAGAGTAACGGGATACTAGAGTAACGGGATTATTATAGTAACAGGACTACTATATTAACGGGATTGCTATAGTAACGGGATTACTTGAGTCACGGGAATACTATAGTAACGGGATTACTATAGTAACGGGATTACTAGAGTAAAACGGCGGTTGCTCACACGAAGCTGAAGGGGCTGTTGTGATGAGGAAGAGCTTCTTGCCGCTGGCGGTCAACTTGTGGAGGATGTCGTGGGTCTCCTTGCCGTGCAGGATGTAGCGCTCTGCAGACGCAGCGGAGACACCGGGTAGGGAGACAGACAGAGGAGAGAGAGACAGAGAGACAGAGAGAGAGACATAGAGAGAGGCAGAGAGCAAGAGAGGAGAGAGACAGAGAGAAATACAGACAGGAGGAGAGAGAGACAGAGAGACAGAGAGGACACGGAGAGAGACACGGAGAGAGACAGAGAGAGCGAGAGAGAGAGATGGAGGGACACGGAGAGACAGGAGGAGAGAGACAGAGAGAGACACGGAGAGAGACACGGAGAGAGACAGAGAGAGCGAGAGAGAGAGATGGAGGGACACGGAGAGACAGAGGAGAGAGACAGAGAGAGACACGGAGAGAGACACGGAGAGAGACAGAGAGAGAGACAGCGAGAGAGACAGCGAGAGAGACAGACAGAGAGACAGAGAGAGACAGAGAGAGACAGAGAGAGACAGAGAGAGACAGGAGGAGAGAGACAGAGAGAGACACGGAGAGAGACACGGAGAGAGACAGAGAGAGAGAGACAGCGAGGGAGACAGCGAGAGAGACAGACAGAGAAACAGAGAGAGACAGAAAAGACAGACAGAGAGAGAGACACGGAAGAGACAGAGAGACATAGAGACAGAGAGAGACAGGAGGAGCATGACCATCACGCTAACGCCGGTCATCCTCATCAGCGGCTTTTGGCTCGCCATCAAACGAAGACGGTGGTCACCGCATCGCGCGCTGTCAGATGAGCTTCTGTGGCCGTCTGGAACGCTCTTCCTCCTTCCGATATATGGAAGCCACTTTGAAATCACCATCATCTAGATTGAAAACTCGTTTCTTTAGACTTGCTTTTGTGTTTTTTCCTTCCCTCGCACCTCCGATAAGCACGCTTGGCTACGTACGTACGCTTGTGTGTGCGTGTACGTACGCTTGTGTATGTGTGTGTATGCTTGTGTGTGCGTGTACATATGCTTGTGTATGTGTGTGTATGCGTGTGTGTATGCTTGTGTGTGCGTGTACATATATGTGTGTGTATGTATGTGTGTGTATGTTTGTGGGGAGCGGTAGTGTAGCGGTCAGTGTGCTGCGCTACGAACCTGGCGACCCAGGTTCAATTCCCACTCACGGCCAACACGAGTGACGATTATCTGAACCGATCCTGGGCCTCCCCTAGGTCGACTCGGCCTCAAATAAGTACCTGGTGCGACGTGTAAGCATCGCCACTAGGGAGACAAAGGCGGCCGGGCGTGGTGTTAGCAATCCACCTGCTCGTGTGCCGTGCCAGCCTTCACAGGTGCTCGCTAACAGCACTTACCCCACAGTCTGTTAAAGGCTATACGGGGGATCTTTGTCTTTGTACATACCGTGTCTGCGCGCGCGCGTGTGTGTGTGTGCACATGCGTGTGTGTGTGTACGTCTCTGGGGGCAGTTGGCTGGGGGGCAGTTCCCTGGGGGCAGTTCCCTGGGGGCAGTTCCCTGGGGGCAGTTCCCTGGGGGAAGTTCCCTGGGGGCAGTTCCCTGGGGCAGTTCCCTCGTGCCGGGAGTCTGATTGGACTGGAAGCTCCATTGTTTAATTTGGTGGGGGGGGGGGGGGGGGGCGATCGCATGTCCCAGCGGTGGCGCTTTCACCACTTTGTTGGAGAGGTTCGCGGTTCGAATCCAGCAGCCCGCCCTGGTTAATGCACTCTCTGGCCCCAAGATCGTGGCGACGGCTGCAGCATGGGGCGTCTGCCGCGTCACTCGTGCACCCAACTCACCGAGATCCTTTTCAATCAGCTTGTACATCACTCCCTGGTGTGGACATCCTTCACCGAATCCTGCGGACACACACCGATCGTCGCCGTCGGCGTCATCACTGCAGTCGCCATCATCGTCGTCATCTTCATCATTGTCGTCATCGTGGTCGTCGTCATCATCATCATTGTCATCATCGTCGTCATCGTCGACATTGTCGTCATCGTCATCATCATCATCATCGTCGTCATCGTCGTCATCATCGTCATCATCGTCATCATCGTCATCATCGTCATCATCGTCATCGTCATCATCGTCATCAACATCGTCGTCATCATCATCGTCATCATCATCGTCATCGTCATCCTCGTCTCATCATCGTCGTCATCATCGTCGTCATTATCGTGTGGTTGCGGTGAGGTGTGGGGTGTGGTGGGCGTGTGGGTGTAGTGGGCGTGTGGGTGCGGTGAGGGTGCTGTTGGCATGGTGGGTTGCGGTGGGCATGTGGGTGCGGTTGGGCATGTGGGGTGCGGTGGGTACGCGAGTGTGGGGGCGTGTGGGTGCAGTGAGGGTGCGGTGGCCCTGGTGGTTGTGGTGGGCGTGTGGGTGTGGTGGGTGGTGGTGGGTGTGTGGGTGTGGTGGGCGTGTGGTTGCGGTTGGGGCGTGTGGGCCGCCAGCCGATGGGAAGGCCGCCACGCAGCTGGCGCGGGTGCGCACCGTCACGTCCTTGTAGAGGTGGACGGGGTCGTAGTCGATGTTTGTTGCTCAGGAGTAGTCGTTCACGCAGGACAACAGCATCATCTCGTGCAGCGAGAAGATGTCCATGAACTGCTTCATGGAGCTCCCCTGCACGCGACAGGCAACCGCGGCGAGTGAGTGAACGGGCGAGTGAGTGGGTGGAGTGGTCGAGTGAGAGGGCGAGTGAGTGAGTGGGCGAGTGAGAGGGCGAGTGAGCGAGTGGGGTGAGGGCGAGTGAGTGGGCGAGAGTGAGTGGGCGAGTGAGCGGGCGAGTGAGTGGGCGGGCGA